TTTTTTGTTTGTTATCCAAATTTGTTTACTACTTGTCAATTAGAAGTGTGCGGGTTTTTATCAAATTTAAGTATCATACTCAAGTTGTTTACTTGCTTATTAATATGCCTTACATGTCCTAGCTCGCGAAACTGCTTTTCTGTATTACTAATAGTCCCTACACGTCACAAATTTGTATTTTTTATGATATAGGAGAGTAAGTTCCATTTATGTCCATGTATTATCTCCCTAATCAATTATTATCTGTAGACTTGTTAATTTGTATATTTCTGTTAAATGAACCAGTTTTCCTATATACAGTTATCTGAATTTAAACTACTATAATACTGGCACACTTTTCTTAAACTTACTATTTCCTAAACTGTTCAAGACCGGTATAAAATATTATATATGAAATTGTAAACTTTTTCTGAATTATACAAAAATTGAATAATATGCATGATGCTACATTTAAATAAAAAAAATTGTGTTGGCCACTGTTACTTGACACCTTGTATAATAAGTTTTGTTAAAAAAAATGTACAACTGACAATACTATTCGACATGTTTTTAGCCGACCATACCAATAGGTATGATAGGTTATTAAGATCGGCAAAAAAAAAGTTTTTTTAATTTCACTCAAAATGAGTTATTTGGTTCATAAATGACGTAAATAAAAATATTTTCATGGTGTCTGTCTGTCCGTCTGTAGCACGATAACTCAAGAACAGCTAAACCGATTTTAACCAAATTTGTCACAAAAATACTGTGGCACCCGAGAATCTGGCCATTAGTTTTTGGTAGGGGTGGGGGGTTGGTAAGGGGGTATGGGAGGGGGTTAAAAATTTAAAAAAATCGGAACTCCAAAATTACAGTAGCTAGCGAAACGCGGTTTTCAATTTAAGATTAGCATTAATATTTGCAACAAAATTTGTAATAACATCAAAATCAGTCAAAGAACTGCCTACCAACTTTGTATTAACGTATTTTAGTATGGGCGACTATACGTGCCTCCCGGCGCCAATTTTTTCAACACACACTTTTATTTTCTTTGAATATGGTAGTCAAAGATTCAGTATTGATTCCAAAAGGATTTCCAACTTCCATTGACTTTATTTTTATTTACTACTTACACAACGTTTCGGTCAGACGTCTCACAGACGTTATCAAGTGTAAACTAATCTAAACCTTAAAACTATCTGAGCTTATAAGCTAAAGCGCCCACTCGCTTGTGAAAATAGTTGGGTGCAGTCAAGCGCGAGGTTGATTGCACCCAACTATTTACTGATGATTGATTGGTCCGTTTGATGAGTGGTTGCCAAATTGTGGAAACTGGGATTGCTAAAGATGGGATTGCCAAATTAAACTGATCCTGTAATACTAAAATAAAATAATAATAAACTACTTTTTAGGAAGACGATGGCCGATACGCCCAGAGCGGGTCGTTGTTCAAGCCCATGGACACTATTTTCGTGAAGGAGGTTCATGGTCAAGCTGCAAGACAAGCGGGTCTTCGGAACGGCGACAGAATAGTAGCTGTCAACAACGTCCCAACGGCCAATCTCTCTTATCCAGAAGTGGTGCAAAGAATCTCGAATAGTCCGCAATACCTGCACTTGCTGGTTGTTCCCAAAGAAGAAGACGTCCTCCAAAGGGTAAGGCTTCGGTCGTACCATATAAGTAATAAAACTTAATGTGATAAACAAAATCAATTGTGAAACAACTAAAAAATCTTTGTGACAGGTTTAGGTTATTCAGCCATCATCAGACCTTTATCAAAAACCGCTGCTAACTTTGACAATACTATTATATTGTAGAATGTAGAATATTTAGGAGGGGAGTTAATCACCGCGAACCTTACAGATCTATTGTGTGTTCCCCTTTCTTGAGTTATAACGAGTTAAAACTTATCTTACAGTCTCAGGGCTTTAACAAAAGCCAGTATCTCAGACGGCTCCACACAGGCCAGCTCTCCATTCTCGACATCAGCCGGACCAAAGTTCATGGCACGAACGGTCGTCATGTCGGCGCACTCAGTGATAAGGTGTTCCGATGTTTCCCCATTTCCCTCACAGAATCTGCATTCGCCGTTGTTTCTCAGCTTCAGCCTACTGAGGTATTCGTTGAGGAGACAGTGTTCTGTTAGAAACCCCGTGACAATCCGAAGATTGTTTTTACTTAAATCTAGAAAAATTTTCCAGGCTTCTGTTTTTCTTTGAGTTTTCTCGGTCTTAAGTTCTAACGAACTTTTTCGAGTGTCTTAGACCGTTATTCCAAGTTATGCACGGAGTCTTCTAGGTTCTTCAGTTCCGTTTTGGTTCCGCAAGTTGGTTTCCGCTTAGAAAACAGAAGGGTTCTGGTTCAGTTAGTGGAGTGTTCGCTCCTTTTCTAGCTAGATCATTTGCTTCTTTATTGCCTTCTATCCCTTGGTGTGCGGGCACCCAGAGTAGGAGGACATTATTTTCTTTGCCTAATTTGTTCATCTTCTCTAGGCATTCTTTGACCAACTTCGAATTGATAGTTACTGAGTTGATCGCGTTTAGTGCTGCTTGACTATCGGATAAGATGGCTATTTTCTGTTTTCGAGTCAAACCACTAAAGAATATTTACTTGTCACAGGTTTTGGCTATTCAGCCATCATCAAACTTTTTTCAAAAATCGCTGCTCGTTTTGACTAATATTATTATATTTTTTGACTAATATTATTATATTAGAAACAAACATGGGTTTTTGACAAAGGTCTGTGGATGGCTGAATAGCCAAAACCGGTTACAAATAAAAAGAATTGATGTATGAAGAATGTCAATATCAAAAGAAGAATGTATTTTGACATTGTTTTTGTTTATCACACTAAGTTTTATCATGAATCACCACTTAGTTAAAATGACCAGACTATAACATATGAGGCTTCAAGTAGCAAACCCGCCTTATCCATCATTTAAAAAAATACAAATGCCATATATTAATAGTGGACCCTGAAATCTACATAAACATAGTCCCAAAAGTCTTCAGCCTTCAGCAAAGCAAAAGTCGCCTATTCTTATATAAAATTCACTACAAATTATGTTACTGCAGCAAAATCCGTCTTATCCACTAATATTTGCTTTTATTCTCATTATTGTTGCAAATCCCGCATTTTTTCATAGGCTTGTTACACAAGTATAATATTACTAGGTACTGACATCTTATCCATATCAAATCCTTACCTAATTTTTTAATAAAATTACATATCTAATCAATGAAATTAAGATGCAAATATCTTGCTGTTGCAAAACCCGCAATATGCATCATACTGCAAACAAAATCCGCCTTATTTGAATTATTTTTAAGTTTTTTCTCTTTAAAAATTAAATATTAATTTTTATTTCTAGAAAAAAACGAGATACAAAACAAGGATTCCACCCAATGGTTACATTTTTTTGTAAAATATATGCTTCAAACAATTTGCGAAAACAGTTTTTGCATATTATCTTGAAACAATGTTTTTGGAATAATATACAGGGTATCCCAGAATTAAGTGCAAGTATTTTAAGGGGTGGTAGATCTCGATAAAAGAAACATTTTTTCTCTCTATCGTCTTTCAAATAATTCCAAAATATCGGAGTTATTTTACTTTGAAAATTTCCAAAAAAGATGATTTTTTACTAAAATTTTGAGAACCACTGGATCTTTTCTGGATTTTCTTTCTTGTAAATTTAATCTAATACTTATGTTGCCATATTATCAAGAAGTTATGTTTTTTAAATAAAAAGTAAAAAAAAATCCAAAATTTTTTTCAAAAGATTTGGAATTTTCAATTTTTTTTTTCGCGAAAAAAACTCATGGGCGTGCTTCTGGGGTTGAACTATACTACCAGTTAAAATACTTGCACTTATTTCTGGGACACCCTGTATAATATAGAGGTAATCTCTCAAAAAAAATTCTATATGGGTATTTCGCCACAGCAAGAAAATCTGCAAAATAAAATAGTTATTTTTTGTAAACACTAGAGTTTTTTTTTGTCGTTAGGCAAATTTGTTTATCAGTAAACCTAACTGCTGACATGTAGTCTCCGTTGGATTAACACAGCAATATTTACAAAAAATAGCTATTTTATTTTGTAGATTTTCTTGCAGTGGCGAAATACCCATATTGGATTTTTTTTGGAGAGATGAATCCGCCACATGTAGGTATAGACATTTTTGTAGAGGTAATATGTCATAACAAATCCGAAAAATTTCCGAGGCTTTCTACTGCACTATATTAAAACATGATTTTTTTTCTGATTTAGCTATTTCCGGATACTGCTCATAACCCCGTCTCCAACCAAGCGCCGCCAGTTCCCGATCCACAACTGGATAGGCTGCGAGCCCAGCAGATTTTGAGTAGGCATATCGCTCAGCAACAACAGCAACAACAAATCAGAGCGGATCTTGCGTCGTGGAGATACCTACAGCAAGCCCATCATTACCAATCACCGGCATCCTATCCACCGCACTCGAGGGTAGTTAAGGGTGTGCCTGGAAACGAACTTTCCAGACAAGCCCAGCAGCGTAGCGCCGAAAGTGTTTTGGATCCGTATGGTCGAGGTTATACCGCTTCGCAACAACAGGATATTTATTCAGAAATTCTACGGCCAAATGAAGTAAGATCAATTCTTAGATGCTATACACTTTATGGATTAAGTTATATCATTAGTTATTACACACAACTTTGTTTCAATGACTACGATATGCATTTTTCTATAGATTTGTTTCTATACAGGGTTGTTCACTACATACGACACGGAGTATTGTAGCTAAACGATTAATTTTTTACAAATTGTAAGTTTTGGGTTTGTTGAAGGACTATTAGAGTTACAACTTAAAAATATTTTTACTAGATACAAAGTGTCCCAAATAAATAAAAAATATCAAAGTTTTATTTTTTTTAAATGGAGCACCGTGTATTTTATTCCAGTTTCTACGATTAAAATAAAGGTAAATTTAATTAATGTTTATCACACTTAAACCTTACCGTTTTTGAGATATTTTTAATTTTGTCAAATTACAGTTAAAATTTTTTAATACGAAATATTTACTGCAGTTTATTTATTCATCAGTTATTGTGTTGCAATTATAAAAATAATACTACCTCATACCGAGTGTCTAAAAATTTATTTTAAATAACTTCTAGCTTTAAACGGCAATAACTTGTTTAATTTAAATAGAAGACCCTGTATATTTTAGGAGAATCAGATGCACAATTTAATTGTCTATCACATAGCATTATGCCATTTTTTACCTATCCTTTCAAGTTTTCATAGAAAATGCATTTTTTATAATCAGGATTATAAGAAAATGCATTTTATACTATATCGACAATATTAGTATCTGTACTCTTTAAAAATTTGTTACATCTTTAAAAATAATCTAAAATGTCAATATTCCATGGGTATATTGATAAATGAAGCCTAAATTATAAGAAAATGCATTTTCCACGAAAACTTGAAGAGATAGGTAAGAAATGGTATAATAAAGTTTGATAGAAAATTAAATTATGCATCTGATTGTCATCAAATATACAGAGTTCCATTTAAATTAAACAAGTTATTGCCGTTTTAAGCTAGTAATTATTTAAAATAAATTTTTAGACACTCTGTATAAGCTAGTATAATTATTGCAACACAACATTTAGTAAATAGAAATACTTCAGTACAATATTTGGTTTTAAAAACTTAAATCCGCCTAGAGAAATGAAGCATTAAAATTATTACGGTATTTTGACCAAAAAATATTTCAAAAACGGTAAGATTAAAATGCGGTAAACCTTAATCAAATTTACTTTTATTTTAAGCGTAGAAACTAAAAATGTAATAATATATAATATAAAATATAAAATATATTTTTTTTATTTGGAACACTCTGTATCGTGTAAAAATATTTTTAAATTGTAGCTCTAATACTCCTTTAACGAACTCAAAACTTACAATTTGTAAGTATGATAGTTTTATGCACAGGTTTTGCTAATTGAGGCATAATTAGGGCTATATCGTCAGCAAATATTTATGACAAAACCACGATTTTAATATTATTTCAATGCGATCAACATGAACAGTAACCAGGACTTCGTGAAATACAGAGCAAGGGTATAATACAAACAGAATTACGAAAAAATAATTACGTCACATTAAAGATTAGAAAACGCCATATATAGTCTGTCCAACGAGAAGATCCTTGACAGTGATAGATGTGTCTGTCATTTTAATTTCAAAGTAGTTTATTTTATTTTACAAACAAATAAGTTGGTACAACTGGAACGCATAGCAGGAAATTAATATATGTATTTAAAATTTGACTGACAAGTAACTTCAAAATATTGTGAAAAAAACTGTATAAAACTGAAAAAATGTAATCGAGTTATTTTATTTAATAAAAATAATGTGTTAATACAAAACAAACAAAAACAAGACACTACATACCAAAAAAATATAAAAAAGAACTATTTCTTACTTTCAAGCTTTATGAAACTTCCCGCATTTATGATTATATTTATCAATATAACTTATGTACAAATACAAATTTATAATATTCCGCAGGAATAAATAAAACAAACTATTTTATTAATAATAACACTTACCAAATTTTATACCTCACAGGTTGATTAATTAACTTTAATCTTATTTTTTTTAAACCAGTACCTTTTGACATTATTTTTCTGCATTACTAAAATCCATTATTTACCTATCGTGTGATGTCCATATTTTACAGCTACTCCAGTTTTTAGTATGGGTTTAGTATGGTCCTTCTACCATATTCGAGATACACTTATCTACGACGAGATGGTATACGAACTTTATTGATAGTAACTTTATTGGTGTATCTGTATAAGACTTTCTGCCTGGGCAGCGGGTATGAACCATAAACTGTGCTCTGGGTTCTACAGTTACTTTCACTCGATTTTTCCTCTACTTGACTTCAAAAGACACAAAACACACGTAATAACACGAATCAAAATGCATCATCTTCCAAAACGCAGGGTATTTGACAAAAGTTGTCACAAAATTATAACCTCTAATTTGGCAAGACTTTGACAAACGTCGAAAATCTAATGGCGAGTTCATACGCATCGGCGTCCGTTTGTCGTTCATCGTTCCTTCAAACCAATAAAATTGAAATACGATCTGTCAGTTTTGAAATAAACCAATAAAACTGGTTAAAAACAACAAGTAACGACGCATGACGAATTTATATTTAAATCCATCCATAGTTAACTTAAAAATTATTAGAAACTTTTTTTAGTAAAATAAATAGATTGGTATGGGACGTCATCTGCTTTTCTTCTGTCATCGTCTGTCGAAATCTTACCTGAGAAAAAAAAACAGAGTATACTCGTACATTAATGTAACGAAATCTTGTTCTCTCAGATTCTAAATATAAAGTGAATTTTGATAATAATTTGTTTTTTTTTATAGGTACAACTTCGGCAGAAATCCAGGGCCGCACCGCAGGTGCCCCTCTATCGTAAAATGGGTCGCAGAGCAAGCGAAGGTAGTAATCTCCTGTCGAGCACCGAATACAGTGGCGCCACGTCACTAAATTCGTCCGACGGCGATTCGGCGCACTACGCTGAGGCAATGAAGGCTATGTACAAGCCGCCATACCTACCTTCGAGCGCAGAAAATATGGGATTGCCAGAACACGCTTATAGACTCGGTCCAGAAGATCACAGGAGGGAGAGTACTAGTTCTCTTTCATCATCGGTGGCTGACAGTAAGTCATTAATTTGCAACTTTAATGCTTTTTGACTGAGTGAAAGATCCAGTCAAAGACGGTTGGGGTATGACAATCGATAAAATAAGAGATCTATACAGGGTGAGTTTTCTACGATGTTCTCTATGGGTATCTCGGAAACTACTGGAGATAGAGAGTTAAATGGGGAAACAATTGCAGTTTTGAGGAGTCATAAATATGCGCCTTTAAGATTTTTCAAAAAGTTCATGGCTTACTAGATATTTCGAAAAAAAAACATTTTCGACTATTTTAAAAATGGTGCCTAATTCCATTATAATCTATTTTAGGCAAAAAGTTTTCAGATAAAAGTTGTAGATAATCACATCCTTAATGAGATTGTGTTCTCCGTTTTTTCCTAAGCCTGTCATTTTTGACATATGATACAAACTTAGGTTTTTTTTAAATGGAAACCACAATTGGCCATGACTTCATAAAAAGCGCCATTTTTTAAGCTTTTCAGCGATATAAGCTATAATATGTTTTTTTTTTCGAAAAATTACTGAGTTACAGCCAATTTTCATCATTTTTAAACAATTTCACTTAGGCATGGAAACAAGTTCAATCGTCGTCGCTGTCAGAAATGTGAACATCCAAATTTTGTAAATTAAAATAAACAAAAATTGTAAATATGAATTTTTCAAATGAAGGAAAGCGTTAAAGCGAAGTTAAATTTAGAGTCTGGCGCATCAATAGAGTTGTTCCAATATGACTTTCATTATGACACTCCCTCTCATAATAAAAGAAATGTTAAAAATTATTTACATCATAATTATTCAGACTCAAGGATAGGAAGAGGTGGACCAATTGCATGGGCCTCCTCGACCACCTGACCTATCCATTTTAGATTTTTTTATGCGGTATATTTTTTGAACATTTTCTAAAATAACTTGAAGTGTTTGTAGTGATATTATTTTTTTAAGTTTTAGTTTGTGTAATGTAAATTGCAAAGAACCGTTTAATAACTTATTCTGTCTTTTTATAAGTTATAAATTATAGTAATTAAATAAACACAGAATAAGAATGCATACCAACTAAGTGAAATTAGTCAAGAAAGATAAGAATTGGCTATAACTCTATAATATAACGCTAAGTAATTTTTCCAAAAAAAATATGTACATATTATACCTTATATAGCTGAAAAGCTTTAAAAATGGCGCTTTTAAAAAAAACAAGTTTGTCATATGCCAAAAATAACAGGCTTTAGAACAAAAAGTGGACCACTATCTCATTAAGGATGTGATTATCTACAACTTATATCTGAAAACTGTTTGTGTAAAATAGATAATAATGGAATTAGGGACCATTTTTAAAAAATGGTTGAAATTTCGAAAACTGTTTTTTTTTTCAAAATATCTAGTAAGCTATGAACTTTTTCAAAAATCTGAAAGGCGCATATTTATGACCCCACAAAACTGCAATTCTTTCCCCATTTAACCGACTCTCTATCTCCAGTAGTTTCCGAGATACCCATAGAGAACATCGTAGAAAACTCACCCTGTATAAATGTCAATCTCTAGATGCTATTTAATAAAAATTCACGTTAAACATTTTTACTCGATATAAAAATAAATTGCAACCTTTTTAAGGCCAACGGTCAGTAAGTGCCATAAAGAAATAAGCCCTAGTAAATGACGTCTAGCGTTTGATCCCGCCAAATTATTATTGATTGATACAGAGCTTACTTTTATTTTAGGTAGTAAAGACAGCGTAACTTCCTTCGGCTCCAACTCAACAGTAACAGGTCAAGAAATCGACGACACCTTACGAATATCCAGAGTGCGCCAAAGCGTCCGACAAAAAGAGGAATTCTTACGCACTCCGGTACTACGCGAGTTCCACAGTCGTCCCAAAAAGCTCGATCGACCTGTATGGCCGCCGAACGAATACCCAATCCAACAACTACCGATTAGGCTAGATTCACCGGGCCGGACCAAACCCGCGCATCACAATCTCAGACGCATCAGGAATGACATCGACAGCGAAAAGGACATGGGCGGGGTTGCGTACAACGGTGACGTCAGCGGGGGTGTGGCTAGCGTGGCCAAGCCCGCCTCGGATGCGCAATCGCCCAAAGGTAGAAGAGAGAGGGACGATGGTATTAGGGAGGGCGAGACCGCACCTAATTTCGAGCCTGAAGAGGGTGGTAATACGACGAAGGATGTAGCTGTTGTTGAGGCTAGAAGGTCAGTAATTTTTAATAACCCAGTTATAATAAATCAAAGTAATGGACAAATTTAAATGTACCGCTTTAATGCAAGAAACGTTGGGTGGATCTAAAAACTATGCTATGAACAAAAATATATTTATTGTGATTGATTGACTGAATTAATTACATAACTTGTACTTGAGGGGCTGTAAATATCGCCTAATATTATAATGCTTTTATACTAACTTATTCATTAATTTGAAATATTTTAATATACTGGAATTCTTTTACAGACTTTTTTGTTATATATTTTCAATTCTATTTTCCTTATCTGTCAATATTGAAGTATACATAGGCATTTATTCTTACAGGAGCGTAATAAATTATATATTTTGTTTTTTTTTTTTTTTTTTTTTTTTTTTTTTTTTTTTTTTTTTTTTAATTTTGTTTTCAAAATTGAGAGTTGCCAGAAACTTAACAAAGCATTGTATACCTGGTTTTCTTAGTTTATTTAAATTGTAATTAACCAAATTTGTTGGCATATTTTTTAGCTTTCTATTTTATATAAGAATTTGTGTTTATTTGCTACTTTAGGGGGTTATCAAACTATATACGGTGTTTCAGGACTTTGCGCTTTCGGTGGCTGGCCTACTTTCTATCCAATTATACAATAATATGATCGAAAATACTAAACTTTGTGAGTTGCCTTATAGAGACTTTAAGAAAAACTGATAAAAATCTTCACAAATAAGTTGTCAGCAATTACAGTTAATATGAATAAGTTTTGAAAAAACTGAAAATTTTGGATCAAGGAATGTTTGCCCGTTGTTTTGTTATCATAAAATATGAGAAACTTTTCAAAATTTGATAACTGTTGATTCTACCTTGGCAACAAACTTCTGAATCCTATGAAAATATTAAATTTTAGCCAAGTTATTAAACAATTCTATCCTGTCAATCAATGTAATGCTTAGAAATCTATCTGGAGCAATAAGACTCTGAGAAAATTGAGGGATTCTCTGACGCGGCTATCTCGAAAACTACTAATTCTAGGTAAAATGAGGATCATTTGATAATTAAAGCTTCTGTTTTATTTGAAAGAAAAAAAAAATTTTGTAAATTGCATTCAGTAGATATTTGCAAAACTGCTTTTCAGTCATTTTTCGACCAAAGCCGACCGAGAACGGTGGTACAATTTTTCCTCGTAAAACTGCTTCTCAAAAGGTACACAATCCGCCTGAAAAGTCCCAGTCGACGAATTAAGTAGTGGTTTCCAACCTTCTTTTACTGGACTAATATTTATTTATAAATAATTTGATACAATTTGACAAAATAATTAGTGCAGTATCCCTATGTTTCAGAAAATAATATTCAATTCATTTACCTAAAGTGATTTGTCCAAATTTTATTAAGAACTTGACTGGCAATGTTTTAGATCCAAAAATCTAAAGTTTCTCTAGCGTAATGAAGGGAACCGACACCCCGTATATATATACACACCTTTAAATACGTTTGTTATCATTGAACGCTTTTAGGATGAACCCTCCCAGTCTATATAACGTGCAAAAGAAGGCCAAGGACTTTGAAAACTACCCCGAAGCGAGCCGAACGAGCATTCCCCTGAGTGAGCTCGCGCGATTGAGCAAGAAGGTGCTGCAGCCGAACGTAACCGAACGAGCTCACGAGTACGAGGTGAAAACGACTGCGCCGGAGGCGGCGCCGCGCAAAGAACCGGCCGCTTCTGCGCCTGCGACTTCCGGATCTCTGTCGACCTTGAAGCGAATCTATAGGGATAGCCGCTCTTTGGACATTGTGTCTAGGTATTTTATTAGATTTTGCAATGATTTTAATTTGTATAGTAATTCAACAAACTGTATATTCTCTCCTGCAACTACTTCGTGGGATATAGCAAAAGATATAGAGAAGTCTGAAAAACAAATAGTACTTCTGTGAATGTCGAAAAGGAGCAACTTTATGTACTAGCTCCGTGAAGTCAAATAAACTTTGAATTTGACAGTTCCCGCGGGCTTTTCTAGTGTTAATTTTATTAGGTTATAACTTGCAGCCATGCCAGACGCATAGAAGCATGTGCTGACGCTGCGGCCATGCTGACGCTAATAGAGCAGCCTTGGAACGAGATTTACGACGTCACGCTAATTACATACTACAGATTAATATGTTTGTAGAATACATGGAAAACATAATTATTCCTCGTATTTTTGGTTCGTATTTTAAAATAATATAGTTTACATGAAATACATATAGTTATACAGTTAATATAAACAGTTAATCATTATAAATAAGTTATAAAAATATATATATAGTTAATAAATAAAAACGCTGATTGGGTTTCATTTGTTTTTCATTATTTTTTTTATTACAAAACGTTCTCGGCTAATATTATAGCCTTAATCAGTGCTGTGTCATATGATTTTTTTATTTAAACCAACAAAATAATGAAAACCAAATGACAACCTTAATCAGCGTTTTTCCCGAACCTAAACTGTAAGAAATCAAAAAATTTTAGAATAATTTTTAATAAAATAAAATGAGAAGCGATCTCTTTTCATTCCATAGCCATCTCTGACGCCTTTTTTTTTTCTATGATATTTGTATTTATTTGTATATAATTTTCGAACATTAATACTTGAACAATATATACATATAACTTTGTGAATGCAAATAATAATACATCACTATTAGTAGATATTAAAAAAAAAATGTTTTTTTTGTTAAATTAAATCGATTTTCAAAACCAAAAATTTAAAATATATTTTATGATTTTACCCATTATCTACAAAAATTCATTCATTATTTGTATATTGTAAAACATTTGCTGCATTTGTATGGTTCATAGTTTATTTGCCAAAGTATTTATTACCATAAATAGTATATAATATATTGTATTTATTAACTGCAGGTTATGTATATTTCATGTAACCATATCATTTTTAAAATACATACCAAAAACACGAGGAATAATTATGTTTTCCATGTATCTCTGCAACATATTTATTAACTGTATCTAACTAGCGTGACATAAATCTCGCTCCGTGTCTGTTCTATTAGAGACGGTATTGGTTTGATATTTAGAAATGCCAAAAGCTGATGACATTTGACTTTTGACAATTGTCTATCCTGCTGTGTTGATTTTTGCAAGAAGAGGCAGAACTGTTTTATAATTCTTCCTTTTCTATTTCAATGAAAGTAAAAAGAGAGTTACCATCTGATCTGTCTGTGCGACTCAATTCTAAAGAGAAAAAATCAGTAACTTTATTGATAGAGGTATTTTATATTTGCCATGTTGGTAAAAAAAATAATTTGGTCAAAATTCAAAGTTATTCATTTTATAATTTTTTTTTTTTTTTTTTTTTTTTTTTTTTTTTTTTAAACATTTTCAATTTTATGTATTCCATGATTCAATTTGAACAACTTTGTGGCCTTAAGACGCTGCTATTAACCTACAGATGTGTCACTTATTTCACCTTGGGCGCGCCGTGACCTCTGACCTTTAATACGGCTATGGCATTGTCAGACATCGTTTTTTTCTCGAATGCATTATTGCCTTCTTTGAAAAAAATCAATTGAATATTTTCTGGAGAAGATATTTTTGTAGAGGAAATATGAAAGTTCAGCAATTTGATGTTCTGAATGCTTGCTTCAGGATACATGTAGAAATTTTATTTTTATTTTGATTTTTAAATAAACCCCACAACCAATTTTCTTCCAAATATTTTGACGTTATTTCAGAAATGGTTTGAGAAAAAAATTAAAATTCGAAACGATTTCACAACTCGCATTCGAAACTAAGCATTTAGGATATACATTTATACAAAATTTTTCTAATTTATTTTATCTGCAGAATATACGCTGAATTTTCCTCAATATAATTTGGACCACCACTGTATATACCGGAAAAGGTTCCCCAAAGTACAACCACCATAGCAATACGTAACTGAACGAAGTAATACCAA